AGGAAGAAACTGGATCAGGTTTTCTGTCACTTTATTATTTCTGCTATAACTGATGGATATTCGCATATAAAATAAGTCAATAGAGTTTAATTTGTAATTTTTATGTCTTTGTGTCCTGAGGTAGATCTCAGGCGGCTGGTGAGACAAAAAGTAGATCTTGGTCTCAAAACGTTTGGGCACCCCCGAGCTAAAGCTAGCTCAGTTAGTTAGCGACGCTTCAGGCTGGTACCTTCGCTTCCTTCAGGTTCTGCTGGTACTTTGTTTCCACATCCTGAATCTGATCTTTCAGTTCATGGATCTCCTGGTGGGCAGAGCGGCAGCAGCAGAGAGGAAGAGGAGCGATGAAGGTGAAGCACGGTGATGGCAGCAGCAGCAGAAGTGATGTGGAGAGAAAACGGTCAGAGCAGAACCAGCAGACCGAGCCTGACGGAGCGTTCCTCTGCATAAAACAACTTTCCAGATTTAAGTCCGTCTGCTGCGACGCTGCAGAAACGTTTCATTCTGTTTGGATCAATCTGATCAGTTTCCTACTGCGTCGCATTATTTACTGCAGAACCGCCAAACAAAGTCATGAACGTCCAACCAGCTAATTCTGTACATCTTTTTTATTTCTCAGCGATTTTTGAAGAAGTTTGTGAATTTAATGCTGATGTGTTAAAAGATGAAATATTTCCTTACTGATAAAACCAAAGTGTAACTTAACGAGCTGCTCAGCATTCCTCATTTTCATGTTGTATTGGAGTATCACTGTCCTGCTAATATCACAGCATTCTGGTAACACTGTGACTTTTCCTCATAATTTAAAGTATTTCTTCTTTTTAAATTATAATAATTTAAATTATTTCTTTGTCCTCCTTCATAAATAAGAAAAAAATCTTTAATATATTTTTATATTTCTCTCTGTTGGTTTGTTTGCTGGAGAAATGAAAGAAATATTTTACAGAAATACTTAGAACAAAAACACTATTTTAGGGAAATACATTTATGAAGGGAAACATTTTTGATAATATTTAAATCTTGACATTTTAGTTTTTACTGTCACAAAACTTTGAAAATGGAGAGAAAAATAAAATCTGGCCAGACTTTTATGAGTTCGGATCGATATCAGAACCAAACGTGATTCTATCCGGGTTTTATCCCGTCTAGTTATTCCAGCTCAGATAAACCCAAACCTGAAGATTCTGGGTGAATCGGTACCGGTCCGATTTCTGGGCTGAATGTGATCACTTCCTGGTTCCTGCAGTGAAACGCTCCGCAGTCGGTTCACTGAACTTCTGGGACGAAACAGAAACATGAAGCGGATTTCTCCAGCCGGCTCTGAGAACTGACTCCGGCCCAGAAGGCTTTACCTTGATTTCCCGGATGGAGCCATCGGCATCCACCGTCAGCGCCGTCTCCCCGCTGCCTCGCCGGGAGGAAGTCCCGCCCACCGAGGTGAGGGTCGCCGCCGTGAGCGCTGAAGCGGCTCGAGGTCCCTGAGGAAGAAACAACCAATCAGAGATGAACCTCTGAAATCATAGCTGGAGCANGAGCTAACCCGCTAATGCCCTAATTCTGAAGCTAATCCACTAACACGCTAATTTTTGAGCTAACCCGCTAACGCGCCGATTCTGGAGCTAACCTGCTAACACACTAATTCTCGAGCTAACCCGCTAACGCACTAATGCTGAAGCTAACCCGCTAACGCACTAATGCTGAAGCTAACCCGCTAATTCTCGAGCTAACCCGCTTTATTTAAAACAACAACCAGACAGTAGAGAAAAAGATATGCAAATAAACCTAAAATCTAAGGCCATTCTAGAAAACGTGAATTATGTCAAAATTAAATAGAAGCTGCAACCTTCAAGCACCAAAGGGCAGATGTAATCTCAATTGATTAGCGCTTTAGCATTAGCACTAGCTTCTGCTAATTAGCGGTTTTGGCTAACGTTTGAGTTAGCGTGCCACCGCAGACAGAACCTGGCCTTGGTCCGGGTTTTCCAGCTGGACTGAAATCCCGGCAGCACCGGGTTCCAGTTTCTCTTCATGGTGAGGATAAAAACATCCTCGGCTGTCTTTCCTGGCTTCAGATTCACGGTGAGGATAAAAACCCGTCCTGATTTCTGGCTTCGTTCACCTTGAGCTTGTCGTCGTATTGCCGGCGCGACTCAGACAGCAGCTCCTCCAGCTCCATCAGCGAGTCTTTGAGCGTGTCCACCTGGTACATCAGGTTGTTCTTCTCGTTGTCCAGCTGGGCGTTGGACACCATGGCCTTACGGTACTTCTCCTCCACCTCCGCCAGCGCCTCCTGGTGGAGAAGGAAGGAACAGGAATTGACATCAAACCCAGCAGCAGTAAAACCTGAGCAGAAGATGCAGCTTCAGCAGGAAGATCAGCGGTTTCTACACAAACTGGAGGAAGTTTCTGTAGTTTCTAACTGTGCTGCAGATATGAAGCTGTTTAGCTAAAGCAGGGGTGCCCAGTACGTCGATCGCCATCAACCGGTCGATCACGGAAAGATTTTGAGTCGATCTCAGCAGGGGACAAACTGAACGCTGCCAGGACG